CCTGCCTTCCCAAAACATGGCAGCCCTCGAGGCCCCTCAGCCAACCCAAAGACTGGCTGGCCCCCTGTATCTCCTTCCCAGAGGTCCCAGGGCAGGAAAGAAACCCACCCAGATTTCACTATTTCTGCAGCAATTAGGCCACAGGTTCATCCCTCCTTTGTGTCTCAGCCAAGCACTGTCCCAATGAAATCCTGCTCCCCATCTAATTGCCACAAGCTACAGGTCAGATAATGCCATCTAATCAGTTACAGAACCGGACTCTCAACCAAGACACTGGAGGTGGTTTCCCCAGACACCAGGACACTGAATTCTTGGCCTCTGAGTGTGTGTGTGTGTGTGTGTGTGTGTGTGTGTGTGTTAAAGGCTGTGAAGTCAGTTCTGACTTATGGCGACTCTTTGAATTAATGTCCTCCAAAATGTCCTTCCGTTAACAGCCATTCTCAGTTCTTGCAGCCTGAGGCCTACGGCTTCCTTGAGTCAATCCATCTCGTGTCGGGTCTTTCTCTTCCTCTGCTGCCTTCTGTCCCTAGCAGCACCCTAAAAGAATCAGCCAACAGAGTGGCATCCCATCCACTAGGTGGCCCTAAGCAATTGCCAGATCTCTATCACCCTCCCAGTCTCTACTCTGCCACCATCCCTAGCCTGGCTGCCACCAGGTCATCTGAGCATAGGGAAACCCAGAAAGGAAAAAAACACATCCCTCTAGCCTGGCTGCCACCAGGTCATCTGAGCATAGGGAAACCCAGGAAAAAAAACTACCTTCTTCTCCATCTGCGCCTTTCTTCAGACCCTCTGCCCTATGTCCAAACCTATGTTCAGACAGGGAAGCCAGTACGGATTTGTCCCCAATAGGTCCTGCCAGACCAATCTCATTTCTTTCTTTGATCGAGGGATGAGCTTCCTGGATGGAGGGAATTCTTGCGTAGAATCACAGAATCTTAAGAGTTGGAAGGGACCTTGCAGGTCATCTAGTCCAACCCCCTGCACTCCGCAGGAGCATAACCGAAAGATAGCCCTACAACATACCCGAAAGATGGCCGTCCAGCCTCCGCTTGAAAACGTCCAGCGAAGGAGCATCCACCACCTCCCGAGGCAGGCTGTTCCACTGCTCAACCACTCTTACAGTTAGGACGTTTCTCCTGATATTTCTTCAGACCCTCTGCCCTACGTCCAAACCTGTGTTCAGACGGGGAAGCCAGTACGGATTTGTCCCCAATAGGTCCTGCCAGACCAATCTCATTTCTTTCTTTGATCGAGGGATGAGCTTCCTGGATGGAGGGAATTCTTGCGTAGAATCACAGAATCTTAAGAGTTGGAAGGGCAATGAAGAAAAAAGGGAAAAAAACTGAACCTAAACCTAGAATTCAGAACCTAAAAAGGTTAGTTAAGAATAAAAGAGGGCCAACTCTAAAAATCTAATTATGAAACATACAAAACTATACATGTATTTATTCAACATAAATTAAAATAACAAACAAGGGCCCATTCCTACCTCATATACAAATATAAGAACATACAAGGGCTAATAAGATAGACCTAACGCGTTTCGGCCTTTACAGGCCTTCCTCAGAGGTCTAATACAGACAGAACATGTTGGCTGATATACAAAAATACATACAATCATACATATATGGAATAAAGACCAGAAACCAATTGTTCCAAAGTTTAACCACTGGGCAAAGAAAAGAAATGCAAAAATACAAATGAAGCCTCCAGTGCAGTCACATTTCCAGTAGTACTTCTCTCTGGTCAACTCAACTGTATATCCTTCTGAGATTGTACAGCCAAATGTTCCCACTAAAATGTTCCTTAGGTTAAAAGCAGTCAACCACTCTCACAGTTAGGAAGTTTCTCCTGATATTTAGCCGGTAACGACTCCCTTGTAATTTCCACCCATTAGATCTAGTCTTGCATAGAATCATAGAATCTGTGCATGTTGTTTACCTGGATTTCAGTAAAGCTTTTGACAGGGTTCCCCATGATGTTCTGTTGGGCAAACTAGAGGACTGTGGACTGGACTCTAGGATAGAGAACTGGCTGGAGAACCGCACTCAAAGAGTAGGTGTCAAGGGCATTTCATCTGAATGGAGGGAGGTATCCAGTGGGGTGCCACAGGGCTCGGTTCTTGGCCCAGTACTTTTCAACATTTTTAAATTTGATCTGGATGAGGGTGTGGAGGGGCTACTCATTAAATCTGCAGATGACACCAAATCGGGAGGAGCAGCAAACACACCCGAAGATATAGGAGTTCAGTGAGATCTGAACGCACTGGAAAAGTGGGTGGACGTGAAGAAGATGCCATTTAACAAGGAAAGGGGCTGGGTTCTCCATCTGGGTAAAAGAAATGAGGAATGGAGGGGGGGTACACACTTCTGGGTAGTATTGTGTGTGAACAAGATCTTGTGCGAACAAGATCTGTGGGATCTTCTGCAGTTCTGCAGGGCCTGCAAGACGGAGCTCTTCCACCAGGCTTTCAATGAGGAGCTGCCCCACTGTATCATCAATGAGCCCGGCCCTCAGTTTTAACATCGGTCCTGTTACATCTGGTGGTTCGGAACGACACTGAGCTGGAACCTAGTGGTTAGAGACATCTTAATACGCCATCGTAATTAATGAATTGTAGATCTGATTAGCACCTTATGTTTTTATGCTTTTAACTTATTATGAATCAATGTAGATTGTTTTATCGGTTTTACTGGCAATTGAGCCTCTGCTGTAAGCCGCCCTGAGCCCGTTCGCGGGGAAGGTGGGGTATAAATTAAATAATAAATAAATAAACGAGATCCTGGGGAACAGGTGGACAGTAAGTTAAATAGGAGCAGCCAGTGTGGTGCAGCGACAAAAAAGGCTAATGCGATCTTGGGGTGTATCAACAGAAGCATAACGTCCAAATCGCAAGAATCCATAGTCCTGCTGTACAGTGCATTGATCAAGCTGCAACTGGAGTGCTGTGTGCAGTTCTGGAGGGCTCACTTCAAAAAGGACGTGGACAGAATGGAGCAGGTGCAGAGGAGAGTGATGAGGACGATCAGGGGCCTGGAGACCAAGAAGCCCTATGAGGAGAGGCTGGAGAAGAGAAGGTTGAAGGGGGACATGATGGCTCTCTTTGAGTGTTTGAAGGGTTGTCACTTAGAGGAGGGCAGGGAGCTGTTCCTATTGGACTGCAGAGGATAGGACTCACAATGATGGGTTTCATTTAAGGGCGGGAAGGTACCAGCTGGGCATTAGAGAAAAATTTTTTTACAGGGAGAGTTGTTCAACAGTGGAATCAGCTACCTAGGGAGATGGAGAGCTCCCCCTCACTGGCAGTCTTTAAGCAGCGGCTGGACTAGATGGACCAAATTTTCAGCCTACTCAGATCGCTCTATGCTAGTGGGAGAGCCTCTAGACCCCCTAGACAAATGGTTCCCTTTCCTGGAAAAGATAGACGCAGAACAAGTAGTTTCTGAAAAGGGGTCTTTGTTTAAAACCAACATGCTCTTATGTTAATTATATTCCTATACAAGTTGACTTGCTTCCTTGTCCTCTTGGATCTGTTAGACACCAGTACTGTTTGTTGGCTCTTTGTGAGGTTATTTGCTCATTGTATTTGCACAGTCCTAGTATGGTGTCCCTTGTTACCTAGGCGGTTACTATTTTACCTGTACTTCGTTTACTGAAAATTCTAATAAAACGTTTTTGGGTTGGACTAGATGGCCTGTATGGCCCCTTCAAACTCTGTGATTCCATGATTCTGTGAATGGCTGTCCCTCTCTTAAGACATGCCCTGCTTCTTTCTACCTCGTAAAGTCCTTGTCCTCTATGCCGTTATTGGTCTTCCAGAGGAACTGGTTGGCCATTGCGTGAGACAGAATGCTGGACTAGATGGACCAATTGGTCTGATCCAGCAGAGCTCTTCTTATGTTCTTACGTTCACTACTGGTGGTCACATCCAGCTCTCAGCTAAAACCAGTTAAGTTCATCATCAACAACCTATGCTGGATGATGATACACCTCTCTCACAGGCATTGGGAGGCAAACCTTTTCTTGCCTCTTAACTTTAAACAACAGAACAAGACCTTTCCTAACATGGGCACAGAATCTGAGTCCACATCCAGCAATACCCTCTTTCCTCAAGTTCACTTGGGCAACACAGTCACATGACCTAACAGCAGCAGCCATACCATCTCAGGTTCATTCAGTTTTTATCCTCCTTGGTTGTATATGCCAGCAAATGGCAGCAATGGCCTTCCACTCTGTTTACTAGGCAAACAGGTCAGTCCCTGCACAAAAGAATAAATGGACTGAAGAGTGGCAGTCCTTAAACAGGGAAGCGTCAAGGAAAATCAAAATGCATGATTGCTGAACTTTAGTTCATTGAGAAATTCAGAACAACAAACCCACCAGGACTGAACAGGGACATAAGATTCTTATCTCACAGATGCCAGTTTTCTGCCCCGAAGCCTTTCTGTTCTGCCTCTAAGCATTTATCCTTTGTGCTAATGTAGCTAATGGCAATGTGCATGATACCTCTGCATCCTGAGTTTTTTGTTGCAACACTCCTCCCACCCTCTAGCAGGGATATTAAGATTGAGAGATCTCCATTCTGAATCAAATATGAAGAAGGGACTTTGACTCCAAAAGCGTATACTCGGAAAACCTAGTTAGTCTTAAGATGCTACTTGATTCAAAATTAGGTATTTGTGGAAAGTGTCATATTGTCACACCAGGTATCCCTTTCTTTCAGCTCAGGAGATGTGTGGCAGTCAGGGAATGGAGCGGAAGAACACCAATTGATGGAGAAAGAGGATACATATTCAGATGTGAAAGAGAAGTTTGAATATTGGGATGCAGCAAGGAAGGAGGAGGGAAAACAACCACCCAAAAGGAGGAATAATTCCGGTCTTTTGCAGGGGGGTGACTCTCTACAGCAAAAAACATGTCAAGGAGACAAGAGGAATGAGGGTACAGCAAACAGGGAAAATTTCATTGAAACATCAGTTATTAACATTCAACGAAGGATGAGTAACAGAAAGAAAACATATAAATGCCTGGAGTGTGGAAAAAGTTTCAAGCAGAGTTCCCATCTTACTTCCCATCAAACAGTTCACACAGGAGAGAAACCATATAAATGCCTGGAGTGTGGAAAATGCTTCAGACTCAGTGAAAGCCTTACTTCCCATCAAAGAACACACACAGGGGAGAAACCATATAAATGCCTTGAGTGCGGAAAATGCTTCAGAGTCAGTGGAAGCCTTACTTTCCATCAAAGAACACACACAGGGGAGAAACCATATAAATGCCTGGAGTGTGGGAAAAGCTTTAGTCGGAGTTCACACCTTGGTGTTCACCAGAAAATTCACACAGGTGAGAAACCATATAAATGCCTCGAGTGTGGGAAAAGCTTCAGTCACAGTTGCACTCTTACTTCCCATCAAAGAATTCACACAGGGGAGAAACCATATAAATGCCTGGAATGTGGGAAAACCTTCAGTCATAATTCCGGTCTTACTTCCCATCAAAGAATTCACTCAGGTGAGAAACCATACAAATGCCTGCAGTGTGGAAAAAGGTTCACTGACAGATTCGCTCTCATTTCCCATGGAAGAATTCACACAGAGGAGAAGAAATATAAATGCCTGGAGTGTGGGAAAAGCTTCACTTTTAGTTCCAATCTTACTTCACATCAAAGAATTCATAAAGAGGAGAAACCTTACAAATGCCTGGAGTGTGGGAAAAGCTTCAGTCAGAGTTCAAACCTTGGTGCTCACCAGAAAATTCACACAGGGGAGAAACCTTACAAATGCCTGGAGTGTGGGAAAAGCTTCAGTCAGAGTTCAAACCTTGGTACACATCAGAAAATTCACACAGGGGAGAAACCATATAAATGCCTAGAATGTGGGGAAAGCTTCAGGACAAGTTCGCACCTTCATGTCCATGAGAAGATTCACACAGGGGAGAAGCCATATAAATGCCTGGAATGTGGAAAAAGCTTTAGCAGGAGTGGAACCCTTACTTCCCATCGAAGAACTCACACTGGGGAGAAACCATATAAATGCCCAGAGTGTGGGGAAAGCTTCCGTCACAGTGGAAACCTTACTTGCCATCAAGGAATTCACAAAGGGGAGAAACCATATAAATGCCTGGTGTGTAGAAAAAGTTTCCGTTTGAGTTCATACCTTTGTGTCCATCAGAAAATTCATTCAGAAAAACCGTATAAATGCCTGTAGTGTGGAGAGAACTTCTGTAAGGTTAGAAGCCTTACTTCCCATCAAAAAAATCATGCAGGGGAGACACCACATAAATGCCTAAAGCAGTGTTTCCCTTTAAGCTTTGGAGTGCTGTGAGCAAAAGTTCTAGTTTGTGAGCCAAAAGAGCTACTAGCATTAAAGTTGCAAACAGAACTACATCTGACTGTCACGTAAATTAGTTTTTTATGCACACCAAGTCTTCATGAAATACACACCAACCCTGTAATTCATTCTCCGGAAATCTTCTATCTGTGTGGTCACAAGTTTGCCTGTTAGCATTCTTGCCAATAGTCTCATCAACCAACATGCATCAAAAGTTCTGCCAGAAAATGCTGTGTGGCACACCTGTGGAGTGTGATCTCCCGCCTCTCCGTAACGGCTTTATTTTACCTGAATAGGCAGCCCCCTTTTCCTGCCATTTACACTATGCCTTGATCGACTTCATGAAAGGTAAGGATCAGATCTGGTCATTTCTCAACTCTAGGCCAGCAAACACTACACCTTTTAAAGTCTGTGTCCATGATTACCAGTTAAAAGTCACAGGGTACTTGCTGATGGGTGTGTGTGTGTTGTTTATTAGCCCTCTAAAACAACTGCTTGGACACTGTTTCGATGGAACACTGGATAGGGGATGGAAGGAACCCTAACAGAACCACAGTCTCCCACCCCAAAATACAGCACGCACAGACGCATTTAAAAATACCCAAACTTCCTTTCACCCAGCAGTGAGTCCCCTCTCCCCACAACCTAAAGCACCCGCAAATCAACGCTGCCATGCCAATCTTCCATTCACAGCCAGGGTTACCAACCTCCAGGTGGGGCCTGGAGATGTCTCAGAAGTACCCCCTGATCTCCAGACGACAGTGATCAGATCCCCTGGAGAAAATGGCTGCTCAGGAGGATAAACTCTATAGCATTATACCCCACTGAGGAGCTCGCTTCGTCAAACCCTACCCTCCCTTGGTTCCACCCCCCCAATATTCATGAATTCTCCAGTTCTGTAGTAGCGATGGGACTATATAGATTTTCCTCTTTTTTTGATTATTCATATTTCTCTGGTTTTTATAGGTTTATTATAGATTTAACATTTTATTGGAATGTAATGGCCTGGTATATAGAAGGCCTCTCTTCTTTGTGGGTCAGGGTATTTTTCCAGTTGACGTTCATCATAAACTCTGTACAGTTCAAATCATGGTTAGGAAAAATACCAAAGGTTCAGAAACTTGATAGTTAATTAGTGTAACTGAAAAAAATAGGAGATTTATTGCTCTCGAGTTATGAACGACTGCTGTCTTTTGTCTTATAACTTTGCTTTAAGAATTTAATAGCAGTTATCAAGATGTATTCTAGTTCACCTAGTATAGTTACTCATTTGCACAATCATTTAGGGTCTAATTGTTTTATTTGGAGGACAATGACACGTTCAAAAGTTTTCTTCCTCTCTCACCTCTAACAAAAGTGTTGCATAAGGATTGAATGGAGCTTTCTACTGGGCGCGTCCAATGAGAAAAACCTTCTGCCTATCAACTTTAAAACAGACTTGCCTAAATGTTAGAGAATTGTCGTGCTTTTGAGTTCAGCTAAGTATGAGAAACGTTGGTAGACACGTTTTTTATTGCATGCCTTTTTCTGTACTTGTATGATGAACTTTCACCTGTTCGTCAAGTTCTTGCCCAATACAAAGAGCTTGCTTTATTTTAAATAAAATAATTATCTCTAAAAAGTTTGATGTTTGTGCTACTGACACAAGATCTGAAGTCTGAACTCAAGTATTTTATTGTACTGGAAGAAATATGTTTCTCAGAAAGTTTGCTCAGTTAAACCCTAATGGAGGGGTGTCAAACATGCATCCCGGGGGCCGGATCAGGCTCTTGGAGGGCTGCAATCCGGCCCGCAAGGCCCTGGCTGTTTCCTGCTTCGTTTTCCAGTTCTGCTGCTGCTGCTACATCACAGCTTCCTTTACCAGACACTCTCAATCGCACAGAAGAGATAAGCCTCTCCCGTGCGATTGAGAGAGTTTGGTAATGCACTAGCTGAAGCTCCTCCCTCTCCTCCTCCCAGGGGGAGGGAGGGAACCAGCCAGAGCTCGCTTCCTGGCCAGGCTGCCTCAATCGTATATACGAGACAAAGGGAAGCCTCTCTTTCCTTCTGCTGGCTGAGGCGCCTCCCTGGAGGGAGGGAAGGCCCTGATGTCATCCGGAAGCTCATTCCACCAGTGCGGGGCCACCACCGAAAAGGCCCTGTCCCTCGTCACAGCTAACCTGGCTTCTTTAGGGCCTGGAAGGGCCAGATGGTTTTGGGACCCCGATCTTAGTGCTCTCTGGGAAATGTGGGGAAAGGTGGTCCCTTAGGTATGTAGGTCCCTGACCATATAGGGCTGTAAAGGTAAGAACCAGCACCTTGAACTGAATTCGGTATCTCATCACTGATTTTGACTCCATTCTTTCTGAAGCATATTGGCTAGCTTTAGAAGGAGACACTTAAGTGTAAGACTGGCAAGGAAAAGGTGCATCGGAGATACAATACGCTAGCTACTAAAGCCGCAGAAATGCCAGGAGCCACGCAGGGCCGGCTCCAGGCTTTTTTGCGCCTTAGGCGGGGCTACCTTCTGGCGCCGCCGCCACCGCCCATGCGCCCCTTTAAGACGTGACCCTTCCCATTCAGCTCCTTGATGCCTTTGGAGAAATAGATCCAAAGGGGGAGGAAGAAAAACTATCGCATAAGCCACGCCTCTTTGCCAGCCAGCAGCATTTGGCTGTGGAATGCCGGCGTCGCCAACGCTTCTCCAGGTATTCGCCCACCCCCTCCTCTCGACTGTCCTGTCAGACCTGCCCCCTCCTTCGCCCCTGGGCGGGAAATAGCCCATGAAAGGGAGGAGGGGGAGGGAGTCTGCGCGCCAGGCTGCTTTGCTGCCCCACCCTCCGCCGCATCTGCCCACGCTCCTGCACCCTCGCCTATTGTTACCCGACGGCCAGCCGGCCAGGGCACGCACCCTCTCCCACCTTCGAGGGTCCGGCTGGTGTAAGCGTCCTGAGCATGCACTGGTGGGTGCGAGAGAGAGTGGGACTGTGGGAGGGAAGGGGCGTCCTGTTTGGTGCCCCTAAGGGCCGGCCTGCACTCTAGGCAAATGCCTAGTTTGCCTAGTGGGTGAGCCGGCCCTGGAGCCACACAATGGAGAAGGAGGGCCATGGCCTGGAGTTAGCAAAACCTCTGCTGCTTGGATTTCTCACCTGGGGCCTCCCTCTTTCCCCCTTGGGACATCTATAGCCATGTAAGGTGTCACCTGCAGGTAGGGTGGCCATTTTCCAGGTGGGGTCTAGAGATCTCCCAGAATTACAGGTAGTCTGTAGACCAGGGGTGTCAAACATGCGACCTGGGGGCCAGATCAGGCCCCCGGAGGGCTTCCATCAGGCCCGCAGTGGAACTGGCCGTCTCCTGCTTCCAGTTCTGCTGCTGCTGCTGCATCATAGCTTGCTTCGCCAGACTCTCTCAATCGCTCAGCCATTTCATGTTTTCCCCTGGGTCCTAGACTCAGAACGCCGAGCATGAGATTTCCGTGGTGAATGTCGATAAATCAAAAGTAGGTTTGCAGCTTACAGATACACACTTGAACATCATACTCAAGGTTGCAACAGCACAGACGTTTTGATGGGATAATTCAGAGCAAGCGGTGTCAGTTATCAGGTACTGCTAAATAAACAAAATATTGCAAGAGTGCTAATGTTTTAGGCATGTTTTTATTTTAAGTTAAAAAAATATCTTTGTGTTTTTTTCCTTTATAAAGTATATATCTCCGCTACCTGGCATTACATTTTATGTCACACATGACCCGGCCCAACAAGGTCTCATTTATGTCAGATCCGGCCCCCATAACAAATGAGTTTGACACCCATGCTCTAGGACTGGAGAAAAGAGACCCCCATGGAGGGTTCGCTCTATGGCTCCCTGAGGTCCTTCCTTGGTCTCCACCCCCAAATCTCCAGGCATTTTCCAACCTGGGGTTAACAGCCCTACAACCTATCTCATTGTATTAGCCAGGGCAAGAATGCAAACCTTTTCTTTTAGGTTTCTAGTTCTCATCAGCGGTGTGAAGCCACTCTTTAAAATGCCTCCTTAAATCAAAGAAGCCGGAGGGGATTTCAAACCTTCCAGATGGGACCTGAATCTGTGCTGCAGCCCTTGAGGGAAAGGCTTTTCAGTGTAAAGTCTTGTGGTTTTTCCACGTCTGCTTTTTAAATTTGCCCTCAAGGGTTCTTCCTTGTCAGTGGGACATTTTCCTTTTAGTGTCAGAAGTCTTCCGTTTGGTGTAGTGGTTAAGAGTGCAGACTCTAATCTGGGAGAACCAGGTTTGGTTCCCCACTCCTCCGCATGCAGCGGCTGGGTGACCTTGGGCAAGCCACAGTTCTCTAAGAGCTATTCTCTCACCAGCAGTTTTCGAAGGTTCTCGCAGGGTGTCTGTTGTGGGGAAGGGAAGGGAAAGGAGATTGTAAGCAGCTCTGAGACTCCTTCGGGTAGTGACGGGCGGGGTACAAATCCTCTCTTCTTCTTCAGGGCCCTTTTGATAGAAAGGCAAACCCAAAATTGAAAAAGGACACACACACAAAAAAAACACAAAAAAGAAATCTGAGTCCTGCCCTTTTATGAAAGTGATGGGCAAGGCTGCTCACAAGTTCCAAAATCGGGTTGTCAGATCCAGGTTGGGAAACTCCTGGAGATTTGGGTGTGGAGAGGACAGCGTCCTCAGGGGCACTGTTCCCTCTAAGCTGAGTTAGGGTGAGCTAGCTCACAGTTCTTTAGCACCTTTGGAGATTGGAGGAAGTTCAAGCAGCTTCCGTACGCCTGTTTGGTCTTTCAGGTAAATCAACCCTCTCTACTATTTGGCCCTTTAAAAGCCT